CTGTGTGTGTGTCTCTGTGTGTGTGTCTCTGTGTGTCTCTGTGTGTGTGTCTCTGTGTGTGTGTCTCTGTGTGTCTCTGTGTGTGTGTCTCTGTGTGTGTGTCTCTGTGTGTCTCTGTGTGTGTGTCTCTGTGTGTGTGTCTCTGTGTGTCTCTGTGTGTGTGTCTCTGTGTGTGTGTCTCTGTGTGTCTCTGTGTGTGTGTCTCTGTGTGTGTGTCTCTGTGTGTCTCTGTGTGTGTGTCTCTGTGTGTGTGTGTGTGTCTCTGTGTGTGTGTGTGTGTGTGTCTGTGTGTGAGACCTTCAGCCTGATCTGTAGCCATCTCCTCTCGCTCCTCATCCAGAGCCTGAAAGATTGCTGTCAAGAAGAAGAAGAGCAGCTCACACAGAGGACCCTCTGGATCACAACCGACCAGCGCCTCCTCCAGAACCTCTGTGGAAAAAACAACATTTATCAGAACCAACATCAACTTATCAGTTTTTATCAAGAAAAGTTATTTCTGGACATTTTCAGGAGGACAGTTTGAGACAAAATGATGAACAGACAGAACTTGAAGTCCAGAGGCACTAMAGTCACAGGGTCTCTGCAGGTTTCACAAAGTCCAGTTTAAGACCTAAAACGTTTTAATGCCACCTTAAAAGAAATTTAAAGGGGACCTATTCTGCTAAATTCACCTTTTTATATGTTTTAATACTTCAATTTGGGTCTAGACTGCTTCAGAAACGGTCCAAACACCAAGAGTCCTCCCAGCTCTTTCTGACAATACGTAAATGTTTTTGTGTCAGAAAACGAGCCGTTTCAAAAACCTGCAGTTTGTGATGTCATGATGAAGGGGAGTCCAGACTCCGCCCACTTCTTCAGCACATGACCATGTTAGTTCTGCTGTTTTTAAAACAGTCATGGAGAACAGAGATGTATTGCTTAATTTTTTTGATGGCCATGTTCTAACAATATTGGCAAAGAAAGTTGTAGTTTGTGTAAATATTTTCACTGTGGAAACTACTACCAGCAGGATTTAGCCRAGGACTTTCAGCTGAAGGAAACTTCTGTCCCTACTGTTCCTCACAAATCTGCAGCTGATGGCAGTAAGTCAAGTGTTGTGTGTTTAGTGGTGCTTCTGTATTCAAACTATAAGTCTGGAACTGGTCTGACATCCAGTCCCACAACACAAAATGGAACCATTCTACAATGAAACCCTGTAAAAACAGCAGTCTTACCTAGAGTTACACCATCAGGGAACTCATCAGTCAGGTCCAAGTCCTCACCAAAAGCCTGCAGGAACTCCAGAACCATCAGAGCTTCTCCAAACAGCTCTGATGGAAGACAAGTTCTCACTGGAACTGGGCGAGGTAGTTCCTATTAAAACAGATATATTCATTTAGAATCTGCACCAAAAGCTATTTTGTTACAAAATAAATAAATAATCCATGTTTGCCTAGCCTGGTTAAAACCAGACCCTGTCCTTCATTTTGCTTCACACAAGGGTCAGGGGTCTCATTTATAAAGGATTGCGTGGAAACCATACTAAAAGTGAACGTACGGCCAAAAGGCAGAAATGGCGTACGCCAAAAAAAATTCAGATTTATAAAACCGTACGTACGCACGTTTCTGCACATCTTTCCTTTATAAATCACAGCCACACGTCAGAGTTTGAACACGAGGTCCTCCTCAGGTTCTACCCTCTAC